CTGCATACCACAAGTAATATTCTGCCTGGATTGAGAGAAAATAAAAGAGGAAGAAAAAATAGAGTGGAATATAGGAGAGGAATGGAGTTTTTCCCCGCTTGGATGGGAAAGAAAATAAGAAGGAAAAGAAAAGTGGGGAAAAAACAGAGTGGGTTCCATGTCATATTTTCCTCTCAAAATTTCTCTCTATAAATGGAGATATTTTCACCAAAAAAATTCATTCCCCTCACTACCCTCTACCGCACCAAGCTCCTGTCATTCCTCAGCCTTTCCTGTGTCAAGACATTGGACATGTTTTTAATGTTTAGTGACATGTTGGCTATTTTTTGTTTAAGCAATATAGACCTTTTATCATGATGCTCATGACGTAAATGGCATGCCCACCTTTTTATTTATAATATTCCATGATCATGATGCAAGATATTTTATTCTATAAGTATCAAGATTAATTTTAATCATATTATTAGTGACATTTTCATGATATCAATTTCTCATGTTATTATAGTCTTTAATTTTATTCAATTGTTATCATCTTATTAAAATATTAGATAATGTATAATTTATTTATTTTCTTTTATTTTAATCAAGTTCAAAAATTATTCCCTTTTTATTTTACATAGAAAGATTTTTTTTGGCTAAATTATTTAGTTTCCTTGCCAATTGATTATAATAAGGATATTTTAGTCATTCTAATATTTATACATTTTCTTTCCTCCCTTTTTCTCTCACTCATCCAAGTTTTCTTTTCAGTTTTCTCTTCTCCTGATTTTTTCTCTCTCTCTTTCTTTCTTCCCAACCTTTCTTCTCATCCAAGCAGGGGTTAAAAGAGAGAAAAATAAGCATTGTGCACTGAACTGAGATTGTTGTGAACTAATTTATCTCACGTACCACAAGTAAGAATAGAAAAAAATATTCCTTCTGATCTTGTGTATAAAATAATTTTAAAGGAGTTTTTTGGTCTTAATTATGAGAAAAATATCATAATATGCGTTTAGTAAACTCTTCCAGTTATACACCTAATGCAAAATGCATTATGTTCACAAGGAAAAAAAATTTAAATATTATAATAGGGGTATTTCAAAAGAAAATAAACTTGAAACACAATAATAAAGAGCAATGATCTAGGTTAATATTATTTTTAGTCATTAAAATTTGACCTTATTTTAGATTTAGTCCTTAAAATTTGAAACTAATAATTTTGATTCCTAAAATTTAACTTCATTCTCGTTTTGTTCTTTGTTTTAGAAATCAAAAATCTTAAGTTTAACTAAAATAAAGTCAAAGTTTAAGAACCAATACTACCAATTTAAAATTTCAAAGACAAGAAACAAAATGAGGTCAAATTTCAATGATCAAAATTACTAGTTTTAAATTTTAGAAACTAAAACTAAAATAAGACCAAAATTCAGAGATTAACAATGATATATAGGATCATGAGATAATTACTCTTTCCTTATATATAAAGGGGGGAGGAAGTAGAAACCATTTATTTGAGTTAGCTATCTAATCATGCAATCCATCAAAATTTAATACAAAATATATTAATGTTTTCCCTTTATATATTTATTTATTATTTATAACGTCAACCCTTTTTTTTTACAATTTCTTTTTTATTACTCTCTGACTCTCTCCATTAATTATCATAAAGCACAATTTTTATGATTTTATGTTTCCATTCATAAAGCATTTTGAGAAATGTTAATACAGAAAGTAAATTTAAAAATATTCTAACGTATCAATTTTATTTTTTTAATTTTTTTCTCCAAACTTCAGAGTATAGTACTATTCATGGCAAAAAAATAAACCTTCATTATTCCCATCTTCTTGTTTTACCTTTTGCTCTTTCTTCCTTTTTTCCCGTGTTTTTTTTTTTTGGTGCCGTATGAGCATTTTTAAGCCCTAAATTTTTGGAACATCTTAAAAGATTTGTTGGGTTTAACATTTTAACTGGATAAGCGTTTCTTATACTTTATAACTTTCACATTGAACACCTTCTAACATGCTTTCACCTAATATTTGTCCGATTCTTAATATAAGACCCATTTAACTAATTTAATTAGATTAAGAAAATTAACTAAGTTAATTAATTATAAAAAAATATGACACGTTTTTCCCAAAACACTATAATCGTCTTTCTTAACACCCCATCTCCCTCTTCTACTTAATTATAATTGACGCCGTATCCATAAGGGTAATTTAGAGAAAATTGATAAATATGAGAAATAAATCTTATATTTAGCACCAAAATCAACTCAAATATTGGGTCATATATTAATGACCGGAGGAGTACTAATTATTCATTTTGGCCCTGAGTATACTTTGAAGTGGATTTAAATATTTTCTATTAGAAAAAACTTTCAAAACAGATCCAAGTCATATCAAATACAAACCAAACAAGATAATTCATAGAAATCTCAAACATTAAACCAATGTAAAATGATAATAATTGTCACTTAAGTGCTGCAATCCTACAAATAACACAAAAAAGATCGAACTAAAGATTTGCAGCAGCAATAGTCACATATATGATCATGTTCATGACTATAGTCAACATCAACAATAATTCTTCATCCTTGTCCTTGAGCCGAATGTTAAGCTTTTTATTTGGTTTTTTATCGCTAACCTTATCTACAACAAATAATAAACTAAAACCACACACTTTAAATAGCAAGTTTATGTGATAATAATAATAAAAAAAAAACATAGATGATACTATTAAAAAAAAGACGGCAAATAAAGAAAGGCTTAATTAAACCGGTCAACCTTTGATCTTGCCGGTCCATTTATTTCTCAGCTTATTAGTGTCTGTCTTAGAAGTTTGTTTAACTCGAAAAGGAACGTTTATTTCCCAACCGAGTTGAACAAATTTAGGGCTTAAAGGGGGCTAACTCAATAGAGCCTTGGCTCTTGTTTTCTGAAATCTAATAATTTACGAAGGTGTTCGAGTAAGAATAAAATCATGATTTTAAAAATGTTTTTACGGGATATGAAGTAAATATGTGAAGGAGTTTGCTTCGATCTACTAAAAAGTACTTTAGAAAAATACTTCTGGAGTTATCCAAACACCTGCTACATGGATTTTATATGGGGGCGATGAAGTTGATAAACCAGTGGTTTACTTACTTAGAATTCGAAATTCTTGGAAAGGCCGAAAATGCCGGCTATACATTACCATTTTGCTCGTAAAAAAAGAAAATTTATTCATTACTTTTCTAAGGAAAAATCTAAAATAAAATACTTTTAAAATCCCAAGTCAAGAAAAATAAGTTATCATTTACTTTCAAATGTTATTAATTGTTATTAAACTATAGTAAATAAGTTAAAAACAATATAATATTGTCTCCAAAGCTTTTTTTTAAATTTAAAATTATCCCGAAAATGTTAAAATAAAGCAATGTTGCTCTTTATAGTTGAAAATATTAACAGTCAATATCAATTTTTTTGTTGTTAATGTTAGTTTCTTAAAGTGATAGGACAATATTACTCCTCCGGTCCTTATTATAAGACCCCATTTGACTTTTTATTTGGTCCTAATTATAAGACCCCAATCCATTTTGTCTCTTATATTTATGCATTTTTTTCCAAGATAATCCTTCTAATAATGATAGTTTTAGCCAATATACTTAATTAGCAAAGATATTTTAGGAATGACAACACTTATTTATTATAAATAACCAACTTAACTTACTTCCTTAATCTCCTCAAATAAGTCAATTGGGTCTTATAATTAGGACCGGAGGAGTACTACATTTTGAAATTTGAGGAACAACATTGAAAAAAAAAATTCCAGGACAACATTATTTTTGGGCAAAAGATATCAAACAAATTTACACTCTAAAGTTATTTATTAATGTGCAAATTTATTTTATAATTTTTTATTTAAGGACAATATTATTTCGAGAGTTTTTTGAATTTAAGGTTGTCTCAAAAGTATTAAGATGAAACAATATTATTATTTATCATTAAAAATATTAACAATTAATGTTAATTTTTTTAACTCTCAATGTTAGTTTTTTAACGAAAATGGGATAACGTTACTATATTTTGAAACTTAGGAAAATTACACATAGGTCCCACACAAGACAATTAATTGATTTAATTCATAAAAAGTCTCTGGAAATGTCAAAATGATTTCTAAGTCCTCAGGGACCTGTGTATAATAAATTAAAATTATGAAATTACCTATTTACCCCAATTAATTTTATTGTAGTAATTTATTTACAACTTTAACAGTGGCTGTTGATAACTTGAGGAGAAGTGATTAACAACCTCTGCAGTGCCCCTGACAACTCACTCTGTGGGATACCAGGAGCACTGCTGAGATTGTTAACCATTTCTTTTTGGGTTGTTAACAGCCACGGTTGAGGTTTTAAATGAATTGGGGTAAATAGGTAATTTCACAAGTATAATTTATTACACATAGGTCCCTGGGACTTGTGAGTTATTTTGAGATTTTAAGGGACTTTTTATGAATTAATTGTCTTATGTGGAACTGAGTGTAATTTTCCCTTGAAACTTTATAGACAATATTGATTAAAAAAAAAAACTTATAAGACAATATTGTTTCAAAGTGAAAGCTCTCCGAACATATTCCCACATGAACTTTTTATACATATACACACACAACAACAAAACTAAAGCTATGCAATAGATAATAAAATTATTTCACCAAAAAAATAGATAATAAAATTAGATCAAATTAGAGTTCCACGTATCCAGCATCTTACAATTAGCATGACAAGGGAGTAAATCAATTAGTTCTTCTAAACAAGAGATTTACTGTCTTTTTTTATGCTTAAAATTACTTGGGTTTTATTAAACACATGCAAACGTACAACTAATACAATCATCTCCCGTGTGGACCCCACATCTACTCGGATTCCAGGGTAACGATGTGAACATTGACTCAGCACAGCCTCTATCCAATCCACGTGAGACACATTATTATTTCTCTAATCTATTCTTCCCCCTATATATATTCCTTTGCTCGTCCCACATTTCCTCCGCCAAACTCAGAGCCTGTCAGATCATTTTCCTGCATAGCTTACCGCGTTATCAGTCGTCACGACGTCGTTTTCCTTTTCTCTTCTCCGTCTTCTTCCTCGTTGTCGTCGTCATATTTCCGCCATGGATTCTTGCAGCAAATCTGCTCGCAACTCTGCTTCTCCTTTCGATTGCATCCTCTTCGGTGAGTTCCCTCTGGTTTTCTTTAATTCTCTCTTGCAAGTTTCCCTCTAGTTTCTTTTCATTGAAATTTGCTCATTTCATTTTGTACGGAACGCAGATTTGGATGACACTCTGTATCCAACCAACACCGGAATAGGCGAATCGCTCAAGAAAAACATTGACGGTAATTAATCTCTTAGTTCATTTAACTTTCTTTCTGGAAATCGTGTGTGATTGCTTTGACAATTTAAGAGATTATACATACCGAACGCAGATTTTCTGGTGGAGAAATGTGGATTCCCTGAGAGCAAAGCGTCAAGTCTCCGAATCGAACTGTTCAGAACCTACGGCAGCTCCCTTGCCGGCTTGCGAGTAATTTCTTCATACGATTACTCTCTCTCTCTCGGTTCGAATTGATTTTTTTGTATAATGAAATCTGTTGATTCTGTTGTTGCAGGCATTAGGCTATGATATTAGTGCAGATGATTACCACAGGTTAGAACTTAGAGCCTAATTAATTCCATTTTATAAGAAATAATAAAAAAACTAATATGCTTTGGCTTCAATTATTTGAGCTGATCGTTTTCGTTCTTCTTAATCCAACAGTTTCGTGCACGGAAGGCTTCCCTACCACTCCATCAAACCAGATATTCAATTGCGCAACCTCCTTTGTAGCATTAAGCAAAGAAAAATTGTAAGCTTCTAAGTTTACGTCTCTTTCCATTCTTTTGGTACGAGAGACATTTCAAACTAAAGTCAACTTTCAACTTTTTTGCCTTGACCTGAAACAAACATGAGCTTTTTTTGTTTTTTTTACCGTCTTTCATCTTTCACCTACCCGATGAAAAGATTAAGGTGTCTGGCCAGAAGACGGCACCTACAATTTATAAACATTGGTTCTGACTTACAGATTGTATTGTAAGAAATAGAAGTATAAAAAATTGTGCTATACTTTTACTCTTTACATTTTAAGACACGTTATTTTAAGGCATAAAAATTCAATGCCTGGGTAAGTAAAACTACTATATAAAGATTTTCTCAAAAATGAAATATTCTTTTAGTTCTTAATATAAAACCTAATTATTGAGTTAATTTTAGTCTTAAATATAAGATCTATTTCTCATATTTATTAATTTTTTCTAAATTATTTTTATAAATACTCCTTCAACCATAATCAAGTAGAAGATGGAAGGAGGATATTAAGAAAGATGATTATGGTGTTTTAGAAAAAACATATCATATTTTTTATAATTAACTAACTCAACTAATTTATTATTCTAATCAAATTAGTTGAATAGGTTTTATATTAATGACAGGAGGAGTAACAACAGTGGACCTTATGTGCAGATTTTCACGAATTCAGATAGGATTCATGCGGTGAAGGCGTTGGATCGACTGGGGATAAGTGACTGCTTTGAGCAGATCATATGTTTTGAGACCATGAACCCGAATCTTCCTAACTCAACCCGCCCGGATGAGTACCCGATCCTTTTGAAGCCATCACCGGATGCCTTTAAGATTGCTCTCGACGCAGCCAACATTGATCCTCGCCGTACGGTATGCTCGCAAATCTATCTTCAAAAACATTAAATCTGGAGATATCTGAGACTTCCCCCCCCCCTTACGTTGGGAAATTGAAAGATGATACTTTGTTGTTTGCAGCTATTTCTAGATGATAATGTTCGCAATGTGGCAGGAGGAAAAGCAATGGGTCTCCACACAGTTCTGGTAAATTAATTTCCCATCTCATACAATATTAATTAATTACTATCATTATCATATTTACTTCACAATATTTGTTATTAACAATGGTTTGATTTGATAATACGAAGGTTGGAAAGACTGTGAAATGTGAAGGAGCAGATTATGTAGTGGAGAGTATGAATAAACTAAGACAAGTGGTACCTGAAATATGGGTAGGCAGAAATGAGGGAGAGCATAAAAGGATCCAACGTTCCAAGAGCGAACTGGATGCTATTCTTACCACTACAGCAATTGGAGCATAGGCCAATCTGTGTCCAGTATACATATTCCACTCTACCAAATCAGCCATGTTGATAAATAATAAATACAATTGTACTCACAGTGTCCAGGGAAAGTCACCCGATTGTATTTATCAAGTCATGCGGGTGTTGTATAGGTTAACCTTATCCCACCAAATGTGAACAAATAAATAAATATGGTGAATTTACTTTGCACTAGTTTGTACATTTTGGAATTTTAATTCTGTGGACAATAAAACTTTGGTTATTTTGTTATGTGTTGCGCATGACAAAATTTTACAAAAGTGGTTCAAGACTTCAAGGTTTTGGGAATAGAAGCTGCCCAAATACGCGCTTAGCTTTCATGGCAACCAACAAAGTTTTTTCGATTATAAATTTGATTTGAATTGGAAGTCACAATAAAATGATAAGTATGTTCTTAATTCTTGACCCCAAAAAAAAAATTGATTAAATATGCTGATTTGAATTTCAAGGTGGTCAAAGTGGAGTATGATGCAAGTAGAGGTTAAACATTATGTAAGCAGAGGATAAACATTCAAACTCCAATAATACTAAAAGAAAACAAATTTTATGAGCTTCAGTATTTGATCATAAAAAGTTTAAGTGATTTGAGTTATCATGATTTTAAAGTGAGATTTCTATGTTGATAACGGTACTCCTTTTTATGAGGCATAAATCATTAAATGATATAACCACCAACTATGAATTTGATATTCGATATACTGGTGATTAATATTTGAACATAGGGGATAATTTAAGGTTTGTTTGGATTAACATGGACAAAAATGACTTTTATCCTACGTGCTCTTTGCAAATTGAAATTGAGACAAAAGTTAGTCTGTGTAATATAATTTATATTTAGATAAATTTTCATTAAAAAAATCAGTTTGATGTAAATTTTCTTAAATGATATATTAAAAAGTTAGTTTCAAAATGTTTAAATCTTAAGAAAAGCAAAAATTCAAAAGTTAGAAGCTAGAAAACCTTACTCTAATTTTAAATTGACTTTTGAGCAAAAATTCCGCTGGCCCTGAAGCTACGCTAAATATCATTTTTCTTTTTCACCTCACGTTTTTTTTTTTTGGGGGTCCCAACTGACTCGTGAAACTTCCTATGACTATCCCAATCATGCAGTTAAATGGTGTGGATAAAGATAAAATGTTAGTATGATTCAAACCTTCTGTTATATCCGAAAAAAGTCTCAAGGACTGGATTAAAAACGAATCTCCATGATTTGTTCTTCAATGTTAAATCTCACACCTAATTGAAGTTCTTCTTTCAATACTACAATGAGGAAGAATTGCACACACTCATATCTCATCATTTATTTCGCACCAACCTGATATTCAGAAGCTATATTGAATTATTTGAGCCACTAAAAAGATACGGATTTTAGATGGATATACTGTTGGGGATTCCCTTCCCAGTGAGTCCACCTTCTCCAGAATAATCTGATGTGCTGGGATAGAGCAAGGTATAAGGCACATTTACAGGTCCCGTTCTGTTCTTGAATCCTTTGTCTTTGTTCATTTCCATTATTCTCTCCTCTATTTCCATCAGTCTCTGTCCAAATTTTTGAAATGCAGCAAGAGGTTCAGAATCTGAAGTCCAGTGAGGAGAATCTCTTTGCCCAAGATAAACCTCATCAGTTGGGTGCCTGGACAAAATCTCTATCAGTGAGACACCAAGGAGGGTTTGAAACTGCGCTGTAATTGTTTGTAAAAATGCCAAGTCAGGATTTGACTCTAGTTCTGCATACTCAGGAGTTCCTAGCTCTGGCATGAATCTACGACTGATCGTTGGACGATTAGGGAGGTAACCTGCATATGGGTATTGCCCAAAATTCACGGCTGCATGGTAGGCAGAAGCCACCCAGATGATAATGGAGCATGATTGAATGAGCTCATCTCTAGTTTTCATCTCTGGCCACCATGTCTTGTCCTTTAAGTCACCATGGCCCTTGTGGAGGATTTCTTCCCACCATGATTGAAGCTCATGATCGTTTTGAACCATGTCATCAGATGGGTAATAGAAGTAGCAATATTCTCGTACCCATGTTTCAATTGCGTCCCATATTTCTAGTCCATCCACAGCATAAGGGTAGTCCTCCATCACAAGCCTGAGTCCATGACGACAGCTTGAATCTGGAACTGCCATTCCTCTAAAACGCAGCAAAAGAATTACAATGTTTTTATGTATTCACATAAAACCAGTAGTTCACATAAAACCAGTGGAAATCATTTTCCCTATTAAGTTTTTCTTCACACTTACCTCTTGAGTAGATCAGCAGGTAGTGCCTGATCAGTGAAAACCCAGTTTTTATAAACAGCCGATGACATTTCCATAGCAAATTTGCCTGGGAAAACTGTTCTTTCAAGTATCCCTCCGGCGTTGATGAGAATTTGGCGAGCCAATGCATTTATGAACATTGTGTCCCTGAAGTGGGGCTGCAAGAGTTTATATATTGGGTGAAGGACACTCAGCCGCCTGTTTGTAGCTATTATGAATGGCTCTATTGCTGCATGAGTGCATAACCTGCAAGTGAGTCCTAGCTCTTTGGTTAGTCATGTTGGACCAGAAACACAAACAAGGCATATGCTTTTGACTCTTCTACCATTGATACTATTTATCTACGCATCATACCAGTGACTAATAAGCTGATGGTATCCAGAATCATTCACAGCTACATAAGCTTTGGCTAGCTGCCACACTGAACTTGCAACACCTTCTTGTGCTGGAGTAAAAACTTTGCTGGTAGCACCATTATGATACCCTTGAGGATGGGGCAAGCTTAGTTCAATGGCCAATGGCTTCAATGTACCATCATCTCGAAGAAACAGTAAAGTCCTAGTGGCATAGGTCTTGGTGTCAGTAGAGTTTATTCGACTTAGGTATGGCATCAATGCATCGTGATGATCCAATATAAATAGCTTCTTGTTTTCAAGTGCCTATCACAAAAAAATATAAGCATGTTAATTGTTGATCTAGGACATTTGGTTTGATTTCTATGCGTCTATATTCAAGGAACAAAATGAAGCCTGATATCAGTACCTCTTCTACAGTTAGCCCATCCAAATTATATTCTATGTGTTCTGCTTTGATGGAGCTATTTTGATTCCCAAAGACTTTAGGGTCAAGCTTACTGGTCGGTGGGAAAATCTACACACGCCATGAAGATTAAAGTAATTTTTTTAGGGGGAAAAAATTTGTAATGCGCTCTTACATTTATAGATTAAGTATACGAAATATCATGCCTCCTTTCTAACACAAAAATCTTCAAACCGTTAAAAAAGCTAGAATTATATAATACTTGTAAGCATTGGATGACAACAGGATTAACCCCAGCAAGCATTTCTCTTGCAAATTCTTCATCTGTTCTCCATGCAGTCTTGTCCTCTGCAATTAATATGCGGTTAAAATAATAATACTTATGTCCAAAACCAAATTCCAAATAAAATATTGGGAAAACTTCAGTGTGTACCTTTGATGACATCAGGCATCGGTAATTTGAGGAATCGCTCACCATCATTGCGAGCAAGTTCTCTAAGTAGCTCCCAAGGGATCAGGTGTCTAATTTTTGCCTGCGTACAACTATTTGGTAGTTTAATGGACCCTTTGTAGATATTAAGCACATCTTCAAAGGTTTCAAACTCATTGGTAGTTAAGCGACTTGGAGAATTGATCTCTGGAAGGAGTTGAAACAGTACTGGAAAAATAGATTTCAAAGCATAGGCCAAAAAATCTGAAAACTTGAGGGGGCCAAACTGTTCATCTCTTGGAACATAGATGTTTAGGTTCAGAAGAAACAATCTTTTCTCACTTTTGGGATCTGCAACAATGACACAGTCAGTTTCCTGATTGAAACATCAGTCAAGATTCCACAACCACTAGTTTTTCTGCCACCCTTTGAATTACTTGAAACAATGATCAAATGCGAGTTAGAATCTATCAATTTCATCAGTTGCAATCGGAGAAGCACAAACTTTGATTTGACATGTACACAGACACTACAAGATGACAAATTTTTAAGTATTGTGTTGTGTCTCGCACACAATGTCCATGTTTTATTGTCTATGATTCATAGGTTATTAGGTTCAGAAGAAACAATATTTCCTCACATAACACGACAAATTTGAGGTGTTGTGTTGTGTCTGTCACACAATGTCCATGTTTCACAGCCTATGATTCATAGATTCAACCTAACTAACCTTCTTTAGTTTTTGCCCGACCAGTTCTTACTCTACGAGGATAGGGATGCTTCTCTGAACCACCAAGAACAGGACGTGCATATTCTGGTCCTTTTTCTGGGCTTCCCAGATCATTGTAATAGTCGTAGTCATAGACTCTATCCCACTCCTTAAGTTCCCCTGACCCATTTCCACGGAGGTTTTCTAGCTCTTCTTCCCTGAACTTTTGCAGTGGCTCAGGTGTTTGACATGGAAGATAACTCTGTATCACACAACCAGTAAATTTCCCAAGTGCATTATTTACTTATCATCACTGGGATTTCCAATAAAGCTAAAAAGAATAATTATTTATTTCGAGCAAGCAACAATAATAGGAGCAAAATGCCATAACTATGAAGAAGGTAAAAGTACCTTATTTGCGAAGAACACACGTTTGTAGTTGTAGCGATGAGCAGGGTAGACCCAGGAATTGCACACAAAATGTACAGGACCATGACCTGGTACGTCCTCTATGGTAAGTGTCTTGAGGTAGAACTGGCTACGGTGATGGTTCTTTATAATGAAGGCCCCGGGAACTCCCAAGCTCTCGTCCCAATCAAAGCTTATGGAGAACTCTACGTCCACAGAACTTGACAATGAAGAAATGGTGGAAACCCACTTCTCCAAATATGCCTCTTTTCCCATCTTCCCTCTCATCCCATTTTCTGCAAAAATAACAAATTTCAGTTCTTTTAATTGAGAGAGAGAGATGAAGAAGAAGAAGCTGACCTGGGTCAGGGTTATGAGCACTAATGAGCTGGAAAGAGACACGCATGCCCAAGAGCTCATAGATTCTGTCAACAATGGAGGATTTGAGGTCAGGAAAGTCCAGAAGGCTCTTCTTCATCAGAAGAACTCTCCCTTTGATCATCTTCTCCTCCTCCTTCTCCATCTTGCTTTGATGATTCTGCTTTTCCTTGTTCTTCACTCACAGTAACAAGTTCAAGATTCTCTGAAAAATGAACAAGACTGATATGAAAAGAGTTAAATGTATAGATTTATTTAAAAAAAAAAAATCAGCAGAAAGTG